GTCTGTGCTTATAACAGAGGGCACAATTGCTAAATTATGAGTAATGGAAAATCTCTATTAGAGTGCAAACAATATATCCGTGAAATATTAGTAATACTAACTTACACTAATACAGTACAGTAATAAGCGTTTCACAGATATATTGTTTGCACTCCATTATTATTTTTATTATTATTAAATATAAATAATAATAATAATTTGAGCATACTGAGAAAGGTATTGAATATCACTTCCATTCATCCATCGATCCATCCATCCCTCCCTCCCTCCTTCCATCCATACATCCATCCATCCATCCATCAACCCAACCATCCATTCATCCATCAATCCATCCATCCATCCATCCATCCCTTTCTCCCTCCCTCCCTCCCTCCTTCCATCCATCCATCCACACATCCACCCATCCATCCACCCACCCATTCATCTTTTTTTTCTTTCATTTACCAATAATTATGCCAATTACTTTTTCTCAGAAACTGCTTAAAGGAACCAATCACATGACAGTAAGAGAGTTTGCACAGGAACAAGACTTGCTGATACACTATTGGCAAGGGAAAGATGGCTGGCCAAATAATTACTGGTGATTACCTTAATTTATTATTGCTACACTATGATGATAACCTTCAATTTCCTCATAAAAATTGTAAAAATTATTATATATTAATATTAAACTTTTTAAAAAAACTTTCAAAAAACCACTCCCCATATATGGTGGGCTTCCATGAGACCACTCGACATGCACTACCACTATATACATTCTATATTTACGACATACAACATAACTCAACTCACGTTATGCTGATTACGGAGGGAGGTAACCTGAGTACCCTGGAGAAAACCCTCTTGGCGATGGAGAGAACAACACATCAAACAAACTCAACTCACATATTATGATCCAGTCTGAGCCGGGGGTCAAACTCAGACCACAGCAGTGAGAGGCGAGCAGTATTACCACTACGCCAACCATGCCACCTATGAGCACTACTGAAAGTTTTTTTATATGTGCCTTCGAGCAATGTCCCAATTGTTTGATGGGAAAAAAACACTACGCTTTTGAATGTTAAAGACATATTTCAACAGACAAAAGACAGGCAAGTCTGTAGTCATTAGTTTTAAGAACAAAGTTCACATGACTGTGAAGATCTTGGTGTGGTATTCATTACATGTTTTGGGGTGTTTGATTGGATGGAAATTAAATATTAAATTCTTATAATTGGTCTGTCATTAATGCCTTGTCATGTCATGACCAGGTTCATGCCACAAGCTTTTTGCAGTCATACGGAAATTGCTATAACTTTCCTTTTTCTACTTGTTAGTCTGAATGGACCATATGATATTGGTGTGGTAGCATCATTTGGCTATTTGATCCCCAACAGAGTACTGGATGTATGTTTACGGTGAGTCCTTGAATAGCCATTTTCATGTTCAAAATTACTGCTGTGTT